AACATTCATCCAAAATTTTGAAATACTCAAGTTGCATACAAGATAAGGAATCTAAACGAGTAGATGAATCAAGCAAAACCACACTTTCTAATTGTACCAAATTTGGAGGTAAGTCACAAGAAAGTGTTTAATAAAATGAAACATGAGCATATGCATCCTCATTACTATGAAATGAAAAATCCTCCATGGTAACAATATTTGCATCAAGACAATCCAAAGAGATATCAACATTCTTATCATGTAGAAATTTTTTCAAATCCAAGAAAAAACATGTATCACATTCTATCAAACCATGGTAACAATAGGTGGTGTAACCCTCTCCTCATATCATTATCATACAAGGAGAGGATTAATGCAATCACCACTCACACATACCAAGGTGTACATTCAAATATTTTGTTTGAAAAGCTTAGGCCCAAGACTTGTTTGGCAAAATCAACATATCAAAGACATATGTAGCGAAAACAAATCATATGCATTAATGTTAATCATTGTATGCCTTTGAAATAAAGAAATAAGGTCAGACTATGGTCCACATACCATAGTGTGCACCACATGTGCCACTGCATGTGGTACAAAGCCATAAGCTCTAACCTTCTTTGTGTTAGCAGAAGATTAAAATTTTAAAGTCCCTATTCTAATATGGACCGAACGAATTCGTTTAAGTCAAGGCGGATAGAAGAGTTATCTTTTAATTCTTTGAACTTGGTGCACGTTCTCTTCAAGAGTTTGAATCTCAGAAGTTGACAATGTAAATATGCTTCCTCTACCGATATCCACACGAATAGCTCTCTAACTCAAATAACGTGCTAGCACTTCTAATGTTCGTTCTTCTTTGAACGTTAATTTTCCTTTCTATAAGGTGTTTCGTGGCTTTCAGAGTGTTTTTGCCATTAGAACTTTTCTAACTCTCTCTTCCTTCATAAAGGATATCCCTATTTATATATAGTATATAGATAAGGGTTTTCGTCTTCCACTTAAAAAGCCCACAAAAATATAATTAAATTTATCTCATAAATTTAATCCATGATATCATATCTAATTTGAATTTATCTTATAAATTTAAATTATAAAACTGACATAATATTCTCTCATATCATATTAGTTATTAAATTTAATCTATCATATAAAATTAAATTTAAAACTAATATAATATAATATAATTACATATACATATTATATTATATATATACGAGTATATATATACATATATATTTTGAGAATATATATATATATATATTTAATTTTATATATCATATACATATATCATATATATATATATATATGATACACACACACACATGAATATAGATATATATATATATTTCAAATATATATATATATAATTATATTTTATATTTTATATTTCATATAAATATATATAAATATTTATCAAATAAATATTCAAATATATATATATATATATATAATTCATTTACCCTATATTACATTCATTGAATCTAGACATATTCCAGATTCAATGAACTTAGACATTATAGTTTGAGTTGGATTGTTCTTGTGTACGACCCTGTAGGCCCATATGAAATTGGCAGTAGGCTAATTACACTACTAGCCTACAAGTTACAAGTGGCTTTTAGCAAGATATTGCAACTACCTAATTCACATGAGGATTGATAATCCAATGTAACTTATCATGCAACTGTATCACATCTCTTTTGTCACGTGATATTTTAGTTAAGTATGAGACATGAAATTATCATTCTCCTTTACCTGACCGTTACTTTCTTGATCTCTAAATGGACTAATAGTAATAATGGAAAAAACCTTTTCATTATAATATGGTCATACATTTTCTCAGTCTTACTCATCAAGGGGCCTAGTAATATCTTTCACTTAATGTGAGGGACAAATTCCATCTTGACCACTCATATTCCTCTACATGAATATCACTAAATTCAATCATAGACTTTATAATCACCCGATCAAATGTGACTTTTAACTAGGTTAAAGCTCATTAGTCATCATGTAGGAATCCATGATGATCTCAGGTCAAAGGACTTAGTGATATAGTTACATATCAGATAAACTTATGACTTGTACAATGTAACTTTCTCATAGTGGGTCGGTTTAACACCTTGTACGTACCATGTAACTTTCTCATAGCGGGTCAGTCTAACACTTTGTACTCTTTCAAGTGCTTATGACTTTGATTTGTATCTCTATAATTAATCAAAGTCATACTAGTCTTGTTTCATCTATGATCCCTCATAGATGACTGACTAAGGACATTTAGGACAATCACTATAGTTTGTCCAAGGATACAATTATCATATTGAACATGCAATTGTTATGATAACAAAAGAGAAATTCATTAAATAACAATGTGCATAGTACAATTATTGGCCCTAAGGCACAATTTCCAACACTTTGTGCCTTGCGTCGCAGTATAATGTGCAATGCATCACAGCTCATATACTAGTTTCTACAATTTTCATGTGACAGTTTGCAAGGCAAACTTTCAGCATGTGTTGTTTCCACATACAATGTTTAATCGGAGTGATTCAAGTGTCCACTGAGTATAAATTAGCCCGCTTAGTTATTTTCACCACGAATTCACCACAAATCACAACTTAAACATTCACAACATATTTATAACTAAATCTTAGCCCTTGTTAATTATTTCACTACACATTTCCACATATGGGCTAAAATTCACAAAATCTCTACAAGTTTCCCCTGAATCACAACTTAAACATACATGTAATCCCTATGGCAACTTATATACACAACATACACAAAAGTAATGTTCATTACACAAAACTCAGAGATTTCATAGCCACGACACCACTATACTGGTCCTGATTCTTTCCCTTTTTCTTGATCACTACTCTGTCTTGCAAAAATGTAACCACAAGATGACATAATAATCTTAGTAACAAAATAACTCTCTACTATTAACTATCACATGCAACTATGAGTAAGTATAATATAATATAGAGTAGATATAGTATACAACATATGTTTTACTTTAAATCGCATCAACATATCATTTTTCCTTTTTTACAACTTTATTCACCATAATTCACCACTTCTCACTATTTTTCTAACATATAACATGATTGTCGCCTACCAAACCTCCAAATCACCCCGACTTGAAACCATAGGCTCGCCTTAGACCAATATACACTCTTATGGCCTTAAGCTTACCTTCAATGGTAGAATCCCCTGACCAAAGGTGTTCTATCTCACTTTTGGACTATAGTTTCTCCCAATACACACAATAGGGTGTCATTGACTCCAACACCGCATCACATCAATGCTAAGGAGTTCAAATCTCTAACACTGCACCTTAATAGGCATTAAGGAGATAATCTCCAACACCAGACCTTTACAGGAACTAAGGAGATACAATTCTCCAACACCACACCTCAGCGGGTACTAAGGAGAATAATGCCATATGGTCTTTCTCTACATCTCTACATAGGTGAACTCCCACATTTATGATCATGCTTTTCGAACTAATCATAGATTCCCAATCACAACCAGAAACACACACACACACACATAGTTACACAATATCACGTTTTGTTTAATCAAAGTTCATTTTCTTTCAATAACCATGCAATGCCACAAAACATACTTCGTTTAAAATTGTTTCATGTAATAGATAGCATACTTAAAAACAGTTACAATAAATAGTCAAACAGAGAAAGTTATTTGGTTACCTTAACCCTTATGTCACAAGAAAGGTTACCTATGGATTTTCAATTACCATAAAAGCTCTCTATAAGATTCTTCCCATAACTTACTCGTGGGATACTCCAATCTACATACAATTGGTACCATTAGTCAATTGACCTAATTGACTAAAAACACTTATTTACTAGTCTAAACTATAACTAACCATTCATTTACTTCTACTTATCCCATTTGGATCCATCACCACTTAATTGCCACTTCTATTACTCTTAACAATCTCATTTCACTTTAAATTTTCACCCCTATTTCCCTTTGATTTAGGGCTAAATCAAGCTTATAGGCTCAAAGCTCTATCATTCAACTCCAAACCAGTTACAGAGCTTTAATTTAACTTTAAAAAACCTGTTTATTATTATAGGGTAAGAAACAAACCCCATAAATTTTCTCAATTCAATTTCTATATAACTTATACTAAGAAAAATTATAGTAGAATTGAAGGTAAAAGCTATATGAAGCGTACTCAATAAGTTACTAGTTAGAGATGCCTTCCCTGGCTTTAGAAACCATGCCCTATCAGCTAAAGCCTTCATCTCTACTCCCTTTCATGCTTCCCTCTCTTTCCTTTTTGAAATCACGAGCTAGACATGCATATATTAGGTCATTTTCTATACCATGTGCCACAGCGTAAGGCACAATTAGGGAAATCCTCACCATGTGCACATGCTTCATCTTGAAATATGATTCTTTCACCCATATTTGTCCATGCAACATCCCAAGGAGTCAAATTATCAAACAACCATCCAAATTTCTAATCATTTACTAATTACTAATTTACCCCTACTTAATAGCTAATTGCAGGATTAGAAAACCAGGATGTTATAGATGGCACCCCCATACTTATCCTCAAAAGTTAGTGAACTAGAGCCACTAGAAGTATGTATGTAGGACTTTGGTATATCAGAAATACTAAAAATTGAATTAACATGTGAAATTTTAGAGTTGCAATGTGATCCATCTTATAGATTATGTGAATAAGAAATAAGAGATGATGCATAAAAGCAAGAACTAGAAATCATATCATTTGGTAATGCAAAAACACCATTATCCTTATACATGACAGCTCTAAGATAAGGTGTTTCACACTCTAGATGGTGACTTCTATCATCAACAACATGCATATCTACATTACTTATCATGGTATAGACATATCTATAAGACAAATCCATTTCATGCAAACAATTGGCACAAATATCATCATTATTATAAGAACATGCAAGCAAGTCTAGACAAGGATCAAGACTCTTCAAATTCACCCAAGACGGTAAAATAAGGCTATCAACCTAACCATGTTTCATAGCATCAATCATTTTAACACCCAACAAGGAGCAATCAACAAAATCCTTATTCAAAGCATCATGCATATTGAACTCAATGATTTTACCACCAAATTCCATTATAATTTTGCTCTCTTTCATGTTGAAGATTGTGTTAGTAGTTTGCATGAAGGGCCTCCTAAGAATAAGTGCTCTATCCATGTTATCATGTGCCATGTCCAGGGTGTAAAAATCCATGAGGAATACAAGGTCCTTGACCTTGACCAATATGTCTTCAACTACCCCTTTAGGCTTCCTTATAGACTTGTTGGCCAATTGGAGAATTACATTTGTTGATTGAAGCTCTCCCAAGTATAAAGAGGAAAATATTTGACTTAGCATCACATTTATGGCATGTCCCAAGTCCAGCAAAGCATCGATAATATGAATAGTCCCAATTTGACAAGGGATTGTGAAGGAGCTTGGATCTTTGCACTTAACAGGTAATTGAGGCTTAAAGATTAAAGATACACTTGCACCTCTTTTGACTTTAGAAGGAGGCTTGAATTTTCTTTTATTGGTGCACAACTCCTTTAAAAATTTAGCCTACTTAGGAAATCCTTTAATAATGTCAAGCAAGGATATATTCACTTCAAGCTTGCTGAGCAAGTTAAAGATATCTTGATCAACATTACTATTTACCAAAGCCTTAGAAACTTGAAATCTACTTGGAAAATGAACGTCAATTGGAATTGGATCCCCTTCCTTAATAACCCTTGTCTTAATGGGAAGATGCCAAATCTCTTTAGGCTTTTTCACTTCTTTTCCATCTTCATTCTCTAATGTAGCCTCAGTCTTCCCCTCTTCCTCATTGTTTTCATTCTTTTCTCCTTGCTTTACCTCAGCTACATTTTCATTTTCAAGATCTAAAGAATTTCCAACTCCTTTACCCTTTTTCTCATCAATTTTAGATGAATGTTGCTCATACACTATCTCCTCATCCACCTCTTCATCACTTGTCTCACTTAGGAAAGGTTAAGTACATGCCTCTTTAGGACATCTCCTTACATCAACCTTGTTATCATATGAAGGTAGATTTAGATCTTGTAGTGTTTTGCCACATCTCAACTCAATAGCACACAAAGATTTTGGATTTATCATAGATTAGGCAGGAAGCTTACCACTTGATTGAGATTCTTTATCACTATGAGAATTGAAACTTTGTTGCACTTAAGACTCTAAATTGTTTTGTTTTAGCTTTATACTCTCCATCTCATTTGCAATCAATGAAATTTTACTATCAAGATTTGAATTCATTAAGGGAAGTTACTTGTTAGGATTATCTCCTTGAGTGGCAAGCACCTTAAGCATTTGCTCCAATTTACCATCAAGAGAAGAATCTTGAATAGGCACCATTTGTCTTGACTAAGATGCTTCTTCTTGAGGTTGAATAGAATAGTTATGGGCAAAATTGGAATTTTGACCTCCATATCTCAAATTGCCATCATTTTTCTAGCCACCAAAATATGTATTTTGAGTAGCTTCAAAGCCTCAATTTCCTTGAAAATTATATTGATTCCTCCCTTAAAAAATTCCAACTACTTCTTAGGAAGAATACCTTAACGAACAGATATCCGATATGTGCATTTGAGAGCCACAATGTTGTTAAGAAGGTACAACCTTTGTTTAACACAAGGGAGGTTGAGTTTGCACTTGATTTACTTATTGCATGCTGGACTTCATTAAAAACTTCATTTTCCTATTCAAAAAGGGTTGTGAAGCATTCAATTAAGCTGGTTGAGAAGCAATTTCATAAGACATATTGAAAGAAAAAGAAGACAATTTATTTACAGTCCTTGTGTTGCTACGAGTGCCAAATTGTTGTGAATTAGTTTCCATCTTCTTAATTAAATTTCATGCACTTAATAGATGTCCTATCATGAGAATTCAACCCCTCATAAAAATATCCAATCAAATTCTCAATTGGGATTTAGTGATGTGGACATTTTTCCAAGAGAAGTTGGAAACGTTGCCATTATTCATGAAAGTTTTCACCTATACCTTATTCCACACCATAAATGTCTTTTCTCAAAGAATCAATTTTAAAGGTTGAAAAAATACTTCTCCAAGAAAGCCCTTCTCAACTCCACCCCAGATGTATAGACAATGTGAGGTGGGAGAATTCTTAGCCAATCTTTTATTACCCCTTCTAATATGAGGTGAAAAACCCTCCAAATAATATAATCAACATGAACTCGTTTAGGTCGCATAATCATTTGAAGGTCTTAGAGATGTTTGTTGGGATCTTCACACCCCCAATCTATGAAATTTAGACAAAGAGTTAAGCAAAGATGGCTTTAATTCAAATGTATCACTGTTAGGAAAGACAACACCAAATCTATCATAATTGAAATTTGAGGTTGTTCTCTCCCTAATGGACCTATTATCTTAATTATTGTTGGCATGAAAATTATGTCCATTATTATTTTCATTATTTTCCTCATGATGTCTATCATGATAGAGAGCGACTGGCATGAGTGCGAACTACATTGCACATTTCTGTAAGCTTTAAAATGAAAATTCATTCCTTTTTCTAAAAAATAATTAGATTATATGGAAATGTTAACACTTTTGATATGAATTATCATAACAAGGCTTTAACATTTTTGTAGAAATTTTGGCAGAACCTTCCCTATAAATACGATCTCCTGAAATTTCTACAATATACTAATTTAATCAAAACATTAACTAAATCAGTAGCTTAGGTCCTTTTAGCCAACAAATAGTATATAATTCAAATAGAGTCCTAACAATATCCTATGTGGAGCAGCTAATAATATTTTTTCTAAATTAAAATACATAAGTCTTAAATATTTACATAAAAAAGGTAATGATACCAAACAAAATTTCCACTTGTATAACTATATTGCCCTTTAGAGGTCAACAGCAGGATCAACATCAACTAATGAATCTAATACCAAAATAAATTTTTTCAGTGAATAGCATTCCTAAAGTAGAATTTAAAAAAACTAAAATAATAAATTCAAATAGTAATGTAAAATAATTGAAAAGATGATAATTCAACATAATGACTTTATAAGTTTGTAAATCATAATCATAACCGTAAAATGAAAGTGAATTGAAAGCATTTTATTCTATCATGCTTAAAGAAAACAAATTATCCACTCATAAATCAAAGTAATATACTTGGTAACTAAAACTATTGAAATTTTGTAAAACACACGTTAATCAAAATTTAGAATTTATGAAAGCTCAATAGAATAGGTAACAAATATGGACACATAGTTTACGAGGGTAAATAACTAAATACAGCTTATGCCATAAAAACAAATGTGGACACACAGTCTACGAGGACAAATAACTAAATGCAGTCGAAGCCACGAAACAAACGTGGATACACAGTCCACAAGGGCAATACTAACCAAATGCAGCTCAAGGCCATGAAGTCAAACGCGAATATAAAGCTCATAAATAATAAACATGAGAACAAAGCCCACAAGGAAAATTAGCTAGTTTTTAACCATAGCACACTGCGGGCTAATGGAATTGCCTTTAGCAGTAGTGTTCTGCTAGAGTCCTCTTAAAATCACATTTTGAACATGTGAGAAAAATAATCACTTTTGAAATATAATTTACATTTTCAATACCCAACTCGCATGGATCATTTCAAATTCTAATTTAATACTTATCGAAAATAATATTTCATAAATAATGTACAAGCTTGCGTTAATTGAATAACCAAGAATTTTCATTGTTTAATATATTTCTTGAGGAAATAAATGCACATATCATCATCTATTTATTCATAATCAATATTCCACAATTTTCCAAAACTAGTGTAATTCATAAGAGTAAACTATTTTAGTAAAAGTTTATTAAGAAAAATTAAAGGGGATGCTACTCAATTACTCATCAAAGTTCTAAATTCCTCAAAGATATTCTTCCTTTAATTCTTGTCAGGGTCCTATTCTTCCACATACCTTATAAGGATATAAATAAATACAATTTTAATAAATTTTAATTTATTACACAATCTCAATCAACCATCATCATCTAAACTTTCAAAACTAAATTTATGCTTTATAGATGGTCCCATTATTATTATTCATATCAGTAGTCTCCTCTAATATGCTTTAATCATGCCAATCTATTTTTCTTGAGACATAATTTTCTCTTAATCTTTACACCGAATACTTTTGGTGCATTACTTCTACCTCTTCAATTTAAAATAGCCAATAATTTATCAATAATCAAACAAGCTCCAAGTATTCAAATAACTACATGTAAGATCATAATCAAATTCCTTTACAAATCCACAGGTTAATTCCTAAATCAATAATTTTCATAAATATTCAAAAGTCAAGTTCAATTTCCTCTCATAAGCCTTTCAACAACATCTCATAGGCATCAAGAATCAAGTTGTATATGTAAGTTTTATGTCAAATTTTTAGCTCAATTTTAATCTTCTTCTTCCTACAATGTATGGGTAGCAGTAGAACAAAACAAAATGCTGTAACTTCATACATAAAGCAACAACAGCAACACACACTCTCACACGCATAACAAGCCAACAAATGAAAGGTCCAAAATTCCTCACCTTAACATAGCTAACTTGAACCATGACAAGATAGAGGAAAGAAAAGAAGATTTTTGAATGCTAAATAGGGAAGAAACCTCAACACGGCCGCATGTTATAGGGAGAAGAAAACCGACGAAGCTTCTACAGTCTTCACCAATGATGAAAAGTAATGAAAGTGAAGGGGAGGAAGATTTAAATACTCTCATAATCACCTATATAGAGGAGGGAGAAATACCTAGACAATTTAGAATAAAAGAAAAAAACAAAGAGCAGAAGTCGCGAGTTGATTGACTAAGCTCGCGACAGCTACTACCACCAGCTTTGACGACCTCATTTCTTACCCCAGTAGCTACTCAAATGTGAACACAATAGATAGAGCAATAGACAAAGAACGAAAGATAGAGATAGGAGATACAAAGATGAACCTCTTGGACATTTTAGAGCTGTGATGACCTTATTCTCATCGACAGCCACTAAAAATGAGAAAAAGGATGAAGACAAAGAAGAATGAAGAGATGAATTACACCAGACTTCTAGACTTCTCTACCTCTCTCTCACACTCTATAAAATACCAACTTAAATAAGAGAGAGAGAGAGAGAGAGAGGAGAAAGAAAAATACATCTGATGAGGGAGGGGTATTTTAGTAACTTTAGAAGAGCTGAAAAAATAAGATTCCATTTTTAGAATCAAAGGATTTGAACTTGGGACCTCAAGCATGAGTAACATACACAATTTCACTCTACCAACAATTCATATTGTGATAATTGTTCTAAGAATTAATATAGTAGAATTAATATAATTACTATTAAACATAAAATTATATATTTAATTATTATATTATTATTATTTTATTTTTTTCTAGGTTATTACACTCTCCCCCTTAAGAAATTTGGTCCTCCAAATTTAAATTTATGCTTACCTCAAGAAAATAAAGGGGAAGGTTGGAATAGAACTTGAAAGTGTAACTATTGTAATAACCAATATAATGGCTCTTATTCTAGAGTTAAATTTCATTTGTTGAGAATCTCTGGAAGGATATTGCTATATGTTCGAAGGTTGATAATAGTTATTTAGGTGAAATGCGAAAAGCTCAAGAGGAGGCTAAGAATAGAACAAAACCGAGACAAGTGCCATTGCCAAATCCAATTGAGAGCTTGTTCCCTTTATGTTAGAGGGGTGCTACTCCTATTCAAAGTGAACATAATTAGGGAAAAAGGAGGGCAATAAACACAATAGAAATATATTTCCAATAAGAAGCTAGAAAGAATTTAACTGCTAAAATTGCTAGAATGTTCTATTCGATTGGCTTGTCTTTCAATTTGGCACATAACCCATATTTTATTATTGCATTTCAATATACTGCCAATAATGTAATTCCTAATTTTAAACCTCCTGATTATAGTGCACTAAGATCTGCTTTATTGCAAAGGAAAGGGCCAATGTTGAAAGGTTACTTGAATCAGTCAAAGGGACTTGGAATCATAAGGGAGTAAGCATAGTTACAGATGATTTGATAGATATACAAAGAAGGCCATTGATTAATTGTACGGCTATAACTGATGGAAGTCCCATGTTTTTTAAAGGTAATTGATGCAACTAGTGAGTATAAAGACAGAATTTATATAGCTAAATTGATGAAGAAAGTTGTTGAAGAAGTAAGGCCTCATAAGGTTGTCTAAATAATCACTGATAATGCACCTTTTGGACACCATGTATTGTGCTACACTTAATCTTACCTTGCAAAATATATGTGCAGCAAAAAATATAGAGGCAAATGAAATTGTTTATGGAGAATGCCATTGGATTACTGAGGTG